TGAAGTATTTAATTGCTTTAAAAATTATCTAGTGTTTAGATTTCTAAATCCAAATTACTTTCACCAATTTTTGCTTCAATCAAACTTGCAAAATTTTTAAGATCATAAAAATCCTCATTAATTTTAGGTTTTGTGCTTCATGGATATTTTGTTCACCTATAATTAATGGTTTGATTGGAGCATTTATTGAACTCGTTGTTGTTTCTTTAAAACAATACAAATCCATTTAAGCAAAAGTGGATGATTTCATAATTGAGGCCTAGTTTTTTTTTACCATATTATTAATTACATAGTATGTCTTTGGCAAAACATTATCACATGGAAGAAGTATAGAGGAAATAAAAATTTTAATCCTCATGAGTAAAGATATTACTAACAGCATAGGTGGTGGACATATTCAATATAACAAACACCATTGAAATGACACTTACTAAACTTCTTGGCCAAAGCAGCTAAAAAATCTTAATGTACACCTCTTCTAAAATTGTATTAGAATGATCCTCTAGTTTAACTTGTTTATTTCTACTATATTTTTTCAATGGTGATGTAGCCATCACTGTCTTTTGGTATAATTCATCAGATGTCCACATTATGTCCAGAAACATCTTATATACCTTATGGTATGTATCCATTATATTTTTCAGAATCTCTCCACTTCTATCTATATTGACATTATATTCGTAAAATTACTTGTCCACAAAGTTTTGATTTCCTGTAATTTCTATTCAAGTTTCCACAATAGGATATTTCTTCAGAGAGTCTATTCCAACCATTAATCTCATAAGGTATGAATTTCTACTCTGTCTCTTTATATGGATCCAAACTGCCTTGAGCTATAGATGAGTTCTATTCTGGCAGTCTCTGCAGGCACATCAATACATTTGCAAACTTTTTTTTCAGCAACCACTTTCATTTTAACATCAAGAGTTAGATCCTCCATGGTTTTTTTTTTAATTTTATGCCCCCCTTTTTTTTGTTTTGAGGTATGTCCATAGCATTCTAATAGATTTATATTTTAAAATATGCACATGCTCAATGGTGTTGTTAGTTATATGGCTCAGTATAACTTAATAGCCAAGCCAAGAAGTGATGGACATTGGATTATCATTACAAAAGATTTACATACTCTATCTATTTCAATTCCCAAATCATCCCTTCAACCCTGTGCTATGCAGTAGTACTAATTTTTGCCCTCAATGCTTGGCAAATGTACTTATAACCAAAAGCTGTAGAGTATGTTGACAAAGTTTCCATTACAGTATGTTTGAAGAAAATGATGAAATTATTTACATTATTGTGGGATGTGTTGTCACTACCTCCAAGGACTTTTGGAACTTTGTAGGTGTAAAAAATATAAAAAATTGTACATGAATAATTAGACATGTACTTAAATTCATACTTTGTATTGCTTCGTGGATGGATATTTCTCACTTGTTTTAACTATAATCAATTGCTATTACCATTGCACAATTAGATTGCACTCACTTGTTAGGAACATTGATAAAGTTATTTCAGTAAACATTGTTTAGCTTAAGTTTCACCTTTTAAAATATATTGTATAATTTTTATTTTTGAGCATTGTATCTAACTTAATTGAGGATGTTGGATTTATCTGAATTTATGTTAAGTTATCTTAAAATTAAAATTATTGCATGAATAATGACATTTAACTCAAATGCATGTGTTGGATATTACATAAATATTTTAGATACTATTTATATTACTAGCATGTATATATACATTGTATATAAAGTACTGAGCCCATTACTATCAATATTGAATTCTCAATTGGATGATAGAATTATTATAAGATTAGAAATGTAAATTACAAGAAAATTAAAAATATTTATTCTACACACTATGAAGATAATTCAAAAAAAAATAGACCTACTTTTTAAATGGATAAAAATAATAATAATAATAATAATAAATGATATTTTATGATTATTTTTTCTTTTTTAATTTAATTCTGTAAATATTATTCAATTAAAGAAGTGGTTCTAATTTTTGGCTATAAATGACTTTCGGAAGCACTAAATTTGATGTTTGTCACCTCTACATGACTTCTATGGCTAATTTAATAGATTCATTAATCAAAAGTGTCCAATAGAATGAAATAAGACTTATAAAAACAAATATATATTTTTAACACAATTACGTCTAAATTTAACATTGAAATTAGGACAATTAAATAGCAGTCCTTTGCAAATGAGTTTGCATTTAAAAAAAACAAACTACCACAAACCTTTGTAAATTAGAGACAGATGTTGATCAAGTTCTGGAATTCCTCAAATCCATACAAGATCAGAAATGAATTAGTAATTGTCAGTTTTTTGCATGCAGTACATTTTTTTTTCCCTCACTTTTTTTTAAAGATTCCATGGCCAAGCAGTGAAAGATATGTGTTGTCACTTTCAGTTCATGCATAAATTATTGTTGTAGCAACTGTTTACATTATATTCATGTTTAGATGTGTTCTTCCAAAGCACCACTTGGGTTTAGAAAGTAATCAACCATGTGAATGCATATGTTTGTCTTTCTTTTTTGGTAATGCACCACAAGCTTCCAAGATGACTGTCAGTTTTGTTCCCAGGAACATGCAGATCATGCATGTTGACATTTGTTTTTTGCTATATAAGGTTTAATGTTTTTTTATAGGTTGTGTTATCTATGTCTTGCATATCTTTGTCATATGTGAGACTCATTTGGTATTAAGTAGAGAAGAAATTGAAATTGGAAATTGTTAGTGTAGCTTACGTCATAAGCTTCTACAAAACAATTTTGTGGTAAATATATGGTAGAATATCTTAAGTACTTTATATCAATGTATATCTTAGATTGTCACCAAGCTTGCTATAGCATGCTTGTGACACTATTTGAATTCAATATTATATACTATTGAATAACAACACTTATTCAATTTCTTATCTAAATACTTCTACCTTGCACCAATAGAAAAAATATCCTGTCTAATCTACAATAAACTATCATTTTGAAACCAAAAAGATTTTTTTTTTGAATTATAAAAGTAACAAATTTAATTAATATTATAATTTTGATGAAATTTGTTATAGGATTTTTTTTTTCATTAAATTTAGGTAACAAGCATTGTTTATCACAACATTATTTCAAACATATTTTTTAAGAAATAATAATTTATTAAATATATTCAAATGACACTTTATTTTTGCAGAGCCAAAACATTGCTAGTAGGTATTCATCCTATAACATTTGCAACATTGAGAGCATCTCCAACGCGGGGCTATTCCGAGGTCTATTCTAAAAAGACTCGCCACTGAGTTCCCCAACGCAGTTCTAAAAGCTATCTATTCGATAGACCGTTCTATTTTTGAAGGAAATAGACCGCTGGCTATTCGAAGGTCTACGGAGTTGCGTGAGTGTCGGGGCTGGGGTTCAATTCTCGTAGAGGTAGAACAGAGTATTTTTTTTTTTTTTTTTTTTTTTTTTTTTTTGCGAACTGTAGTTTGATACCTCGATATTGCTCTTCTTGTCTGCATTGCTGCATCGATAAACGCCATGGGATGCGGGAAGAGCTGGAGCTCCGACGAGGACATGTTCCTTGCCCGCTCAATAGTCCATGTGAGTCATGATCCTATAGTAGGTGCTGACCAGAAGAGTTCCAAATTCTACTACCGTGTATTGCAGCAGTTCCAGGTCTTTGTTCCTGATTCCAATCGAACCTCTGATGCACTGTGCAACCGCCAGAAAGAAATTCAATCGTCTTGCTCAAAATTTGCGGGACATTTTGCCATGTCACTGGCGGATCCAAAATCGGGACAACATGAAGACTATTACATTGAAGAGGCCCTTGAAATTTATGTCAAGATTGAGAAATCTTCCTTTAAATTCTGCCAGATCTGGGAATACCTCCGAGAGCACGTTCCAAAGTTTGAACATGGTCTGACTCCCAAGGCTAATCATTCCAAACGCATGGGGCCAGACGAAGATGTTGTGGATTTATCTTCAGATGAGGGTCAACCTACCCCATTGAAGCATCCTATGGGAACCAAAAAGGCTAAAGAGATCGTTCAAAAGAACGTGGATGAAGATGACGAGTTAGCTGGTATTCAGCGCTCTTATATGGTTGAAGCACGACGTCGAAACGATTTGATTGAAGAACAAAATCGGTTGGCTCTTTTCTCGGTAGATCTGACAGCATTAGATGATACTGCCCGCCAGTTTCATGACCTGAAACGAAAAATTGAGTTGGAAAAATTAAAACAGCAAGTCCAAGAAATGGGAATTTATCTAAACTAATATATCAACAACGAGATTTCCTATTGTTCATTTCCAGCCCTTTGTCAGATGTGAGATATTAAATCCGATTGTTATTCATGATATACGACATGATCACGAATTGTTTGCATACGAGCCACCTTGATGGCAAGAGACTGTGCGGGTAGATCTTCAATGGCAGTACGATAGATCTCAATTGGTTGCACTATCCTTCGATGGCAACGGCGTCGGCGATCCGGACGAATCTCGCCTGTCTCAAACTCCTGGTCCGAGGCGAAATCCGGAGAGTACCTTTCATCTTCAACAATCATGTTGTGCAATATAATGCAAGCCCTCATGATTGAGGATAGTTTCTCCTGATACCAACTGCGGGCTGGGTTCCTAACAATGGCAAATTGCTTTTGTAAGACACCGAAAGCTCGTTTGACGTCTTTACGGCACGCTTCTTGCACCATTGCAAAATATTTCCTTGCGGCTCCTTGAGGATTAGGAATGGATTTCATGAAAACCGGCCAGTTTGGATAGATTCCATCAGCTAACTAATAGGCCATGGAGTATGGACTTCCGTTGACCACGTAATTGACCGATGGCATCTTGCCTGTGATAATAGAATGCAGCAATGGGGACCGCTAAAGAACGTTGATGTCGTTCATGCTACCAGGCATGCCAAAGAAAGCGTACGAAAACCAAAGGTCATGAGAAATGGCAGCTACGAGCACAATCGACGTTCCTTTGATCCCTCTTTATGAGCCATGCCAGGCTTTCGGGCACTTTTCCCATTTCCAGTTATAGCAATCGATGGAGCTAATCATCCTAGGAAATCCGCGTGCAGTGTTTTTTGTGAGAATTCGCTTCAAATCTTCCTCTGTCGGTGAGCGTAAATACTCTGGTCCGAAGTGTGCTTCAACTGCCGCACAAAAATGCTGCAGACAATCGCTTGCTGAAGACTCACTGATTCGAATATACTCGCCAACTATATTGTAGCTACATCCGTAGGTAAGTAATCGAATTGCAGCAACCACTTTCTAGAGCGGATAGAGTCCCTTCTTTCCAAGTGCATCAGTTTTCTGTTCGAACCAAGGATCCTGGGCCTTAATGCCATTTATGATTCTAAGGAATAGCTCACGGCGCATACAGAAACATCGCCTGAACAATTTTGAAGAGTAAATTGGATGATCACCAAAATAATCTTGAAATATTCTTCTATATCCTTCTTCAAAGTCATGGTCAGTGTTGGCCGCTCGGCCTAGACGAGAACCTCCGTGATTAGGCTTGTCAGGTGTCTTCCGTTTGAGACTAAACAGCATTTTGGACTCCTCCAAGTCATCGTTAAGCAGATTTTCACGTCGGGCGCGATCAAACCAGTCTCGAATGCTCGGAATCATTGCAGTTTAATTTGTACAAATGTTTACTTTAAACATTCCAGTTAAACAAAAATAAATTACATTATATGATGAAATAAAATTATTAATTTTCTACTAAACTTAGAATAAAAAAAATAACAATATAATGACTGTAAAGTTTTAGTAAACATAGTTTAAAGAAAAAAATTAAATAAAGGTAATAGATGTTATGTTAAAAAGTGATTATAAAAAAAGAAAAATAAAAGAACAACAACTATTAATGTCCATCTCCAAACCTTAGGATTGTTGCCCTTAAAAATACCACTTAGAACTTGTTTTCAAGTTCTTAAGTTGAACTCCTACCTATATAAGTGAAAAAACTTTGGAAGAGTATCAAAGTATCCAAAAATGATTACCAAAATATCTAAGTCCTAAAATAAAGATCCATAATGAAATTACAAAAATGGATTTTAATAACTCCATTTTATTTCTAATTTAAAAAATCATCTAAAGAACCATAAATAAATAAATAAATAAATAAATAAATAGACTTTTATTCGTATTAAAAATCAAATTACAATTGCAACAACAAAATACATTTGTGAATTTTGTATTAAAATTAAACTTCAATTAATTTTTGGCTCGCAACAATATTTAATTGTAGTGATAAGATGTTGTATGGATTCTATTTCATAAAAATATTTTTAAAATATTTTTGATATTTTTCATGAATTATAGTGACTGTTGTCTTGTAGCGATTGTTTTTCATCCATGTTAAATTACAATGCCAACTTTGCATCTTGTATTGTACCTGTTCTAATAAATAGTTTGTATAAGACATGCTTATATTATTTTAATGTCTGTAATAGTGATATAGATTTCTATTGTCGTCTCATTAACACATTTTTGGCCTCTACATTGGCAATGTTAATGATTTCATTAAGCAAAGATTTGGTAATATTTCTGAAACCTAAAATTTTAATATACAATTCTGTTTTTATAATATATTAGATTTAAATAAATATATAAAGCAAAAAATTCAATTTATGCAGAAATAAGATTCAACAATAAATAAAATCTATTTACAAAAAATATAATAAGAAAAAAAAAACAATTGTACTAATCAGAAGAAGAAATGTTGATTTAGACATTCCACACAATAACAAAGGTTATATTTCTGAAGATAGAAGTAAAATTTACACTACCCAAGCAAAAGCAAAAATTCACTCACAAGTTTGACAGCAAAGATAAAATACAACCAGCTTAGTGAAAATAAATATTTTATTACTTTAATAAGAATTTGAGTTTTTTGTTTTTGTAAAAACTTTTTATGAATAGATACCAATTTTTAAAGAAAATTACCATATACATTTTTTTTATTAGTTTTTCACAATTATAATATGTAAAATTAACATTCATGTTGGAAAATCAATGTTTATTTGTCAATGTGTTAATCTTTTGGAAGACATATATTAATTTATCATTTTATAATATTTTAAAATAATAACTAAAGAAAATTTTGAGTTGAAATACATTACTTGCAAATGCAAAGTTAAAAGTTTAATGTAACCAACATGTCGAGTGAAGGTGTTTTGATTTCTAAGAACTTGTTATAATGCCTAAAAAAATAGTGATTACAGTGGTATAAAGATTCTAAAGACTATGAAATAAATCACGACTAATATTATTTCTGAATAAAACAAATACAAGACATAACCAAATTTTACTTTTAAATAATTACAAACGTAAAACCATATTTAAAAAATCCTTGTATTTGACTAAAACCAAAAAATTTACAACATAGTTGTCTTTAAAGATATTAATACAAAATCAACAACTAAAAAAATAAAAACTTCCAAAGCAACATATAAAGATACAATAAAAAATCTTAGCAATAAGAATAAGTAGTTCATTAATTCAAAAAACATAAAACTAGTAATTATATATATATATATATATATATATATATATTAGATTCACTAAATTCTTTTAGCAATAGAAATAAGAAACAAAGCATCAAAAAAAAAAAAAAAAAAAAAAAAAAAAGCACTAAAAATAATCAGCTTTTGGATTATTGTGTAGGCTTAGATAAGATTTTTGAGAAATTTAATAGAACGAACTACTTGACCAAAACTAGAATTTGACGACAATCACAATAATATACAAGATTTTAAAAAACTTCCAAAATATTGGTTTGATTTTAAAGATAGATATCAATCAGTATAACTTATTTTAGATTAAATGTATTTATGAAAATATATATATATATATATATATATATATATATATTCCAAGTATTTATGTGTATTAAATTTTGTGATTATATTTGTTTTACTTTTTTTAATACTTGTGTCTTAACACGAACATATCCTCTGAAAAGAGTTGAATTGTAAGTATATGATGTTATTTTATATTTATTTTTTGAATTATTTTTAAAAAATCCAAAATTTGAATTTTGTAAAACATCAAATCAAATCTTTATTGTGACCGCGAAAGTAAGTTTTATTTCTGATTTATTTTTAATATTTTTAAAATACCTTGAATACAAGAATAAGGCTATCACATGAGTGCTGGGATTTCTAGCAGAATTATTATTAATGAAAGTTTTTACTAATACACACGACTCTTGTCTAAAACACGCACATCAAAATTATTTATGTATTTTTGAATAACTCAATCAAGTTTTTTTTAAAAAAAAAACAAAAACATAAACATAAACATGCACTTTAACAGATTTGTTTCAGGTTTTTTAATTAATCAAATAAAGTCTTAATTTTGCAGCAATTTATTTTTTTAGAAAATAGATCAAGAATAAGGCCTCGATAAATAATAAAATTTGCAAACTAATAAAAAAGAAAAAATATTTTTATTAGGTATAGTCGTACCTTCTATTTGATTTGGGATGAAGGAATAGCTTTCTTCAATACACTTATTTCACTCTTTGTAGATTTTGTTTATATAAAACCTTTATATTATACAATTATCAATGAGATATACATGCCAAAAAATTAATTTAAAAACTCAAAAATAAAAAAAACACATTGATATTTTTTTATTAACTGTTTAGATTAATTAATTAACTAATTTTTGTGGATCTTATCTACAAGATACTTTCTTATTTATTTTATTTTTTTTCATGGCAAAAACAATGACAACTTTTTATTAAAAAAATCACAAATTTGCAGTATGTAAATGAAATCCAATAATTTGTCAAACAATGGTCTAAAATAGTGTAGTAGAATAACAAATTGATTACGTTTATTTAAAAATAATCTTTAAAACATCTTCAAAAACAAATGTCATGTAGCGTCCAAAAGATGCAAATTTTATAGAACATATGTTTTAAACCATTTACAGTCCAATATGTTATGTCCAAAAATTATTTGTTTTTATTACTTTGATTTCAATTTGCTAGTTGCGAGTAAAAATAAATTAAAATATACTGGTATTTACAAAACGATTTAGCTATAATTATTTTTGTTATATTATTGTCACTATAAACTTTGATTATAATAAGAATATTAATGATGTAAAAATATATCAAGCACCTTTCATCTTGTTAGCCTTTGATTACTTGTTATTGACACATATCATTGATTATATATCAATTATCATGGTAATTATAATATTAATGTTTTTCAATGTTTTTTCTTTCTGTCATTCTTAAGGTAATTATACTGAAGGAAAATATCCCATTAATGCTGCTGTTCTATTGAAGTGACATTGATCTACTTGTGTTGTAAAATGGTGGGGATGCATACATTTTTGTGATTCATTTTATAAAGCTACCAAATTTATTTTTTAAAAAATAAAAAATAAAAAAAGAAACAAACTCTTTGGTTCTAAGTTTAATTCGTTTGTAACAACTTCTTTAATTTTATTTTCATGTGAACTCACTTTTAAATTTTTTTTACAAATTATCTTGGATAAAATTATTTTATTTTTTATATTTCATTTCTTATCAAAATTCTACTTAATATTGCCATAACTATCAATTCGATTTTAATTTTTTGTGTGGTATCTTTGCATACATGTGAAAAAATTCAAATGTGGTTTTGTTAGATACCAAAGGTGAGCAAAATACCCTTCTAATTTCAAAACAAGGTCATGCTAGAATCTTGTAGACATGTGCCATAGATATTCAACTGAATGTAACGTTTTTTGGCACAAGTCTGGAACTTTGAGGCTTCTAGAATTTGTTTAATTGAAAAATGCATTGAAATTGTTAAGATTTGAGGAAATTATATAATCAAACAAACACACTATTAGAATTTATCACTACAATAGACACAATGACAAATAAATTATTTCTTAATCTTAGAAGTTTATATGTAATCAACACCAAGATTTTTAGTGTGCTAAAAAATTATTTAAAAACTTATGACTCAAATTAAAATCCCAACTACACAATTGAGAGATGGAACCCCACAACGGCAACTTAAAGCAATGATATGAAAAAATACCTCTACTCTGAACTTTCTACTTCCAATAGAAAATTTCTACTTATATCTTTGGAGCTTTCTATCATAAAACTTTTCATCAAAGTGCAGATTAAAGACTTGATGGGATAAAACTCTCAGATATACCATCAAGAAGAAGGACTAAATTTAAATTAAGCAAAAAGGTACATTTTATTTTATTTTCTTTGCTTTTGAGGTTTTTTCATTCACATCCTCTTCTTGTAATGTGATTAGACCAATTTTTTATTTTTTTATTTCCTTATTTTCTCATTAGTGGATAATAAATGGCACAAATATTAACACAAAAAAAATGTATTATTCGAAATGAATCAGCATGGTATGTAGAAGTTTGAAAATGCACTATAGAGCGCGTGATACTTGACTTTTGATTTTTAGGGCTTCAAATAGTATTTGACAATATATTGCCTTGTGTGGACACTTCTCAAAGCTATTGCGAACTGTCGACTTGTCCAGCTGGAGCCGCAAAATCGGACGGCTGTGGGCGATCGTGATCAGAGCGGCCCGCCAGTTCCACGCAGATACTTGTTCTGTAATCTGTGAGGACGCGACTTCCTACTCGACCGTTCTGAGGCGGAATCGGCGAATGTGCGGGAGGAGAGCATGTTTTCTACCTGAACGGTCGTCGTCTCCACTGCGGTAGAGATTCTCCCTGCCGCTGCGGTGTAAACCTCGCGGAGCACGGCCCCTATTGTTTCGTTTCCTCGTCTTCTGTGTTGCTCGTGGCTCTCGATGCGGCGTCCTTGCATGAGGTTTTCCGTGGCAGAGCTGCTCTAGTTTTTCCAGATCTGGAGCTTTTTCCAGCATCCTGAGTAGCTTCTGGCGGAGGATCCAAAAGATCTTCCCTGCAGTTCGCGATTTGGTAGGATTTTGGTGCAATTTTCTTCTCCTAGCTCCGATGTTGTTTCGTTGCGTGGATATGTGACTATTCCTCCCTTCTCTCTTTCTCGTCTAATTTTTATCTCATCCTTGCATCATTGTGTTATTATTATTATTTTTTATTGGTTACGAGATGGTTTTTATTTGGCGCGGGTGTGCGGAGGTTCCCGACAGTAGAATTACGGTGTAGGGGAATTTGAGATGTTGGTCTTCTTCGTTAGGTGAGAGTGCGGTTTCCGATCCATGTGTTTGTGTGACGCATTCGAAATTGATGCTCCGTATTACAGAGGCGGATCTGGGATGCCTGTTGTTGTAGTTCGCGAGGGTAAATTGTTTCTTCTTATGTTTCTTTGAGCTCTGTTCTCGAGTTTTTTTAAAGCTGGTTGTGTTTCTGTTTGGGAGGGTTTGTATTTGGTAAATGTGGCTATGTCTTGTGCATTCTAATTCTGTTTTTACTGAGCTGGCTGAGGGTATGAAGGGATTCTCTATCTCTCTCAGCCTGCTTCTTATCATCTCTTTCTTGTTGGCCTGCGATCAAAGTGCGTTCACTTTCACCTTCCGTCACATTCAACGGAGACATCATAAACCTTTCTAGAAACGTTGTCCATGCTGGTTTTGGTCTCGAGTCATCTTACGTACGATCTATTTCTGCAGAGGATCAACGCCATCTGAAGTGCCACTTTTTAGCAGCATTTTCTAGCTATGACGTAACTATGGCTTATTCCTAGTTGCAATCCCACTCTGGATCTGTTTAATACTGGCCCAAGGCACTCGTGTGATGATCGCAACCATACATTGCTGTTACTACGGCGATTCCATGATTTCGATTTAGGGTTCCAGTGACTCATCAGCATTTCCGATCATTAGCTTGGTTTTCTTGAGCTCAGTGCTTGTATGATGCTCTTGCGTTCAATCCATCTCAATATGGGTGGGTAGTATTATTCCGCACGTCCACAAGCAATTCAGCAGTGTTCTAAGGTCTCTTTTATTCGTTTTGGCCGCTCGCATCCTTTTTATGACTGATGTTTACAACAGTTATTTCCAAGGCTCCTGTGACACTCATATAGGTACATTATGTTGATTTCTTCACGTAGCTGGAACTTTCTGCTGCCTTTTTCAGTTATTCACTCTTTGACACGCAAGTATCGTGAAATTTCAGCTTTATGTAGCAGTATGTGACGTTTGGCCTCGATTAAATTCCCACTTTGCTACTACCAAGTCCTGGGAACTGGTGTGCATCTTTTCGAGGCAACCTCTACAGTGGTCAACAACCTGAAGATGGTGTCGACTATCGAAACGGCCCACGAAGCCATGAAGGAGCAGGATGGAGAATTCAATGTAATGACTGCTGGTATGTATTTTGGACCGTATTGGGTGCTTCTGTTTTGTGTTATGTTTAGTGCTACTTTGGCAACATTGCATGTGAAGAAGCTGACCTTGTCTTAATTATGCAGGTGCCGACACAGACAAGCAGTCGACGGATGATGCGGTTCCCGTCTTTCCCGAGGATCTGGTTTCTGAAACCAATGTTAAGATTGATGGAGAAGCAGGCAACTCTGCCTCTGCTCCAGAGGCTGACAACGAAGTGCCCGACGTGAAGAAGGCGGAGGCGGTGGGTTCGACGGATTGGAACAATGCACCTGTGGCTGGGTGGGCCAGCGCAGAGGTTGACGCTCCTGCTGTGGAGTCTGGTGTTCTGGGTTCTGCTCCCGTGGAGAATCCACCACTGCAGGTCTACAACTTCTACATGGTAAGGGTCCCTCGACCCACGGACAAGCAAGGGAAGGTGGAGATATCGTCAGCTGAACAGCAGTTACAGGATAAGACGGATTTGCGCAACGCCCACAACAACACCGTGCAGGCTGCCAGAGTGAGGCGGAACGAAGCGTTTGAGAAGCTGAAGGCTGCTCGGCAGGTGGAACGGGACTGGCTAACTCAAGTTCGTGCGAAGCAGGAGGAGATGAAGCCGCTGAGGGACAGCCTTCGTAAATTGAAGGAGGCCGGGCGGGAGGTGCGAGAGAAGAGTCGAGACATGCCGACGTCGGAAGAGGAGTTGGACCACCGAATCGCATCCCTGGAGTGGAGGATTCAGCACGAGAGCATCCCCTTGAAGGAAGAGAAGCAGCTGATGAGGGAAATCAAGGCGCTGCAGGCTTCGCGCGAGACAGTTCGTGCGAATGCACCGCTATTCGCTCAAGTGCACGATGCTCTAGGGCAGCGGGACGAGCTGGAGGCTGCTCTGAAGCCCTTGGACGCGGAATACAAGAAGCTGGACTTGGAGTTGAATGCAGCTAAGAAGGTGCGGGAGCAGGCGGAAAAGGAGTACGATCAAATGAATAGTGCCCTGAGCGCTGTGCAGGACAAGCTGCAGTCGGCAAATGACAAGAGGCAGGAAGCTTACGTGCACAAGAAATCTCTCAAGGAGCAGGAGTACCTGCGGATGAAGGACTTTTATGACAACAAGAGGGACATCCAGGAAGCTAAGATGCTGGCGAATAAGCCAAATAACAGGAAGGAAGTAGAGGAGTACTGCAACGCACAGTTGGAGCGGATGCTAGAGTTGTGGAACACCGACGAGGAGTGGCGGAAGAACTACGTGAAGGACAACGAGTGGAGCACGGTTCGGCGGTTCGGGACGTTTGATGGGCGGGGTCTGGCGCCAGACGAAGCGCGTCCGATTTTGCCTGGGAACGGGTTCGTTCCTTTCGCTGCGGGGCCTGCCTCATCGCAGCAGAACGGAGGTCGGAGCGTGGGCAACCAGCGAGAGGCAGTGCCGGCGAAAGCGGAAGAGGTGGTAGCAAAAGGTGGCAAGGAGAAGATTTCTAGTGACCCAACCATAGCGGTGGAGAAGAGTGTATCGAAACAAGATCGGGAGGCGGTGAAGGAGCCAGAGGCCAGTACACCAGTCTTGATGGAGCCAGTGAAGTCGAAAGAAGAGCTGGAGCGTGAGGCCCTAGAGCTGAAGGAGCAGAGAAGGGCAGTGGAGATGGCGAAAGCGAAGGAGGCAGAGGAACGGAAGAAACGTCTGGCGGAGAAGGCACAGGCTAAGGCTTTGGCCCGGGCACAGAAGGAGGCAGAGAAGAAGGAAAAAGAGAAGGAGAAGAAAGCGCTTAAGAAGGCTGCAGCAGTGACTCCTCTAGAGTCCGAGAGCGCGGCAGAAAAAGCACCTACCGCCGAGAGCAATGGCAACGGGAGTTCGGCAGAGGTTGAGGAGCAGGTTGCGAAGGAGGTGAAGGTTAGCTCGAGCCAACGCAAACGCGGGATGACGAACGCGAGCAAGGCGGCAGCAAAGATAGCAAGGGCGAAGGCGCCGATGCCTTCGGTGCGTGCGAAACAACAGAAGGTTTTGGGGATGCCAGTCCAATGGGCGGTGGGGGCTGCTGTTGGAGCAGTTTTACTGGCTGTGTTGGTGTATTTTTTGTTGTCCAGGAGTAGTGCGTCAGGATCAGGCGGTTTCGAGGATGGAGCAAGGTCCAACGCGAGGCCAGGGGCGTCGTCTGAGAGCTTTTAGGTCGGTAGGTCTCGGTGAGGACGGATAGGTACTGGGCGTCCTTGAGGGTGCTTGGTGATGCAGTCAAGGGTAGGTTTGAAACAGACCTGCTCTGTTTTATTTTTTTTCTTGCTGCTCACTCCGCGGAGAGTTATTGTTAATGTACGTAGTTTGGTTCAGTTAAATGAATGGTTAAGTAGACTTGCGATTTGGATGTTTTCGCTGCTTGGGTTGTCGATTTCGATGGAGGGCTTTGTTTACGTCTGTGATGCCCGTTTTCAGTTACAGAACATCCATTTTGTATTGCGTGCCGTTTCAATTGGTTGCATGAAGTTTGTGAAAGAGAGCCAACACCTTGTTCGAAGTTGACAGTTTTGGTGAAATGCTTGTTGAATAGTTGAGCTGTATTCGATTGCGTCAGATTATTCGTATGTAATCCTAGATGTTCTATCGCTGAGATATTTGGAGGCATTGCAGTTACTTATTCTTGCTACTTCTACTTGATTGGTTTTGATTCTATAGCCTTAAAAAATTGAAACGTGTTTCATTTTAAAATGTTAATAATAGACTTACAAAACTGGCCAAAGTTCGCATTTAGTAGAGAATCCAGAATCAGAATAAGGAGTGAAAATACGGTGAAGATTTATACATGCTATACTTCGGAATAATATCCATGTTGAAGGTGATGATCTTCCCTCTTGGTGCTATCTAATATAACTCTTAAACTATGATCAAAGAATTTGTCAAAATACAGGTGGCGTAAGTATAGCAAGGCACAATGTCGCGTTCATTACATGCGACGAAGATTTTGTCACATATACCTATACTCATTCAGAACGTACAGTCCCATTTCGCGTTTGAATCACTAAAACGTTGTGGAAGCGATTAAAATGTATCGAAGGAGATTAAGGTTGCATGCACTGACCAGCCATGGAGGGCGATCAGAACAGTAGCGCCTCTCAGATTCTTATCTAGTAATGCATCGGCCCTTTTCTCATCTAACAAACTGGAGGTTCTGGAAAGGGCGTGACGAGAACCCGAGTTGCTGGATGGTGCGGCGAGCTGTGTGCTTGAGATTCCCGTTGAAGCTTTGCAGAATCAGAATGCGGCAGATCTGAATGCCGAGCTGCAGCTTGGCCCTCGCAGCCGGGTCCTCCGTCACGTTCATCACGAGCTGTTCCACCACGATCCAGAGCCCACATCCATGAAATATGTTAATTGACTGGATCCCGACTTTGTCGATGATCGGTCGAACAACGACAACTAGACGGTGATTGTTGAGCAAGAGGCGTCGAGATGTTTCGGAAGATGAGGCGAGCGAGAGAGAGAGAGAGAGAGAGAGAGAGAGAGACGATGTCTTACATTCACAGTTAAAAGTGTGAGCTCGCCGTCGCTGAGGTGAAGCATCGCTGTGCACAATGGCACACCATTGGCCATGATGAATTCCTTCTTGCCTGATATCTCCAGCGTCAGGCTGTGCAGTGATCAACAGCAACAGTTTATTTATTTTTTTTTTTCAGTTGTTTGCTAGCTCCACTGTCAATGGGGAGACCATATCCAACTCAAGGACATGCCGAAGCATTGCTAAGCTTGTTACCTGAGCAGTGTTACCTGAGCAGTGCTGCTGTACCACAGGCCATGATTCTTGCTTCACAGTGGTCCAAGTAGGAGACGAATACTGCCACTGCTCCAAGTGCAACTGCTTGTTTTCTGCCTTTCTCCTCGAATCTGTGCCCCCAATGTTTGTCGCCCCCACTTATCACCTAAAGCACAGCGCTCGAGATAGATGAGACTTCTAAAGTTCGAAGAGATTTTGCCAAAGTGGTGATGTCAAGCATCCCAACTCAGAAATGGTCTCTCATACAAACTTAAATTTCTGGAATCTTCATTGATCTCTTTGATCCTTCTCTTCGCAGATTTTTTTAGCACAGGTTTCTAAGAAGCATTCTAAAGAGTGACCTATTAGTTCTTTGAACGCCCGCAATGGAGGTCTGTCCCAATGGTGAGTATCAGGGCGAGAGAAGACTTGAAGGGTTTTCTGAATTTACCCAATCATGCAGATGAAACGACCACATGAAACCATCGTGGCTTGGTCTACGGTCTTGGCGAGTTTCATGACTGTTGGCACTCCTTCCACCTTCAGTAAACGAAATGCCACGTGACTTCCAATTTTAATGGAGAAAAAGAGTTCACTATCTAACAACATCAAGAGATCCTTAAACAAAGCAAGGTTCAGCAATGTAAAGTGCGTGTCCTTAGGATTTTCTGAAGTAATAACAGAAATACGTGCTTGAAGTATACCGCCAAAATCTGATCAATGGCCTTCTGACAATAGTTCAAGCTTCCCATGCAGCGCGAGCAAAGGTCTATGGCGTGGCATACGTTGGCGCTGTTTGTGTCTTTTCCAATGAAGTCCACTATAGCTGCCAGACAACCGTCTTCCACAATCGAATCCCTAACTATGACAGCACAATGGCACCACGAAGTAATTCATTACCGTGAGACCTAAGTGTACACGATTCAACGAACCCTGTGAGAAACTGAATTAGTACAAATGGAAACCGATTAGCCATATGCAGTGGAATCAAAGAGTAACCAGAGCAATTCATTGTAATATCAAGGATGTAATACTCCTATTTAGTCTGCTTTAGTGCTAGTTCTATTCCTAAAGAAATTGATCGAATTAGAACTTCCCAGTTTTTTAAAAATTGAGTGCAAAAGACTCACCTTCACACGAAAGAGCGCAGTAAAGCAAGGCATTCAGAGCATTTGACCTCAATACCACGTCGTCTGTTTGAATCTGAGGCACATGCAAAATCACAGCGCTTCTCAACGCGAACTTGCTTTAGTAGGCATCAGTCAACAAGCTGCAACCATCTTTTTCGTGCTTACATGACAGAGAGTCAGCACACATCCCTTGCAGTACTTGCACAAAGGTCAACTATTGCGTATCCCACGTTGTCAGAAGGGGAGTCATGGAGAGAGATTCTTTGTCGAAACGAAGTGAACTATGTCCATAATTCTTACGAGTTTCCTACCATCTAATTTTTTTTTTTTTTTTTTTTTTTTTTTTTTTTTAAAGGAAAGCCATAGAAATGAGAGGAAAAAATCGCATCTTTGATCGTACTTACCATCTCTACGAGGCCCTTGATGCAACCCAACTCCACCAGGTCGGTCCACGTAGTGATTTGAGCTGTTGACAAAAAGCACCACATGAGTCAGTTCGCGCTTGCGGACGACCGTTACAAGAAATCACCGCATTCTTACTTGTGAACGCTAGTGATCAAATAGTTGAATCAAAGCACGTCTTCTTTCTGCCAATGGGTTGTAATCAATTTCTATGCTATGAGCCACTACTGGAGTCTGAATCGCTTCCATCGATGGATTGACCAATGCGGCACGGAAGTCAAATACGGCAAGTTGCATTACAAGTATTGAAGAAATGGCAAGTGCAGACGTGGTTCAGCAGCACGGATTGAAGCACCTGAAAAATACTTGAAGCACAGGGCAAGCTGCTGCCGTATATACAGGTCTGTTTCCGGGATCATTTCAGCAAGAATAGGAAGAAGGCCTGTACAGGTCGGGTATTGCCACCACATAATGTGCTTAAGAATCTGCCAGATGTGAAACGAAAACTGTACCAAAATACAAGATGAGCGGAAAGTAGTATGATAGAGTAGGCGTCTGACGCTCTGATATTGGTTGACAGAGTGCAGGGTGAATGATTCAGCAAGAACCACACCCTAGAAGCAACCTGGCCTCGGTACTCTGATCCTTGGATCTGTCGTTAACCTAGTTTGCATTGTAACCTGGGCGAGACTGGCGAAGCAGTCCATACCAGCTGCTACACAGCGGGCGCGGTTTTCAGGAACCATCAGCAACTCCACACACCAAGTTACCGATTTTTGCCTCACAATCAGCAGTTCGCTTTTCAGTAAGCGAGCCTGTGCTCACAATCAGCACAGCTAATGCCAAGGGTCATTAGAATGAACTCATCTAGTGTCGTAAACTTGTACTGCGGTCAACAATGCCAGACATACTGCGGCCAGACAGAGGAATAAACGGTGCCTCTTACCATCTTTGAATACATGAAATTGAGGTGGCCGGGAGTGACAGTGCTCGGCGATTGGTGGGTGACGTTGTGTTGAGTCTGATGCTTCCAAATATCGTGGCCATGGCGCTCACAATTTAGTAGAGGATAAGCTCGTTCGTTTTCCGGTCGCGGATCTGCTACAATGTCTGTCACACTGAGCCCAATTTGCTTCAATAAATACCTCCATGCGATGTAGGGACGCACGTAGCCATCCTTGTTGCGATCGTCGTGCATGTAGTTGGCCAGTTTCGCATCCTCCACCCGAACAGGCTGTTCGGACCGCACAACGTTGCTGTCATCAGGCGGTTTCGTTACTACCTTGGCATTCTTGAGGGCTTTCCTGGCCTCCTCTTCCTTCTTGATCCGCTTGTCGTTGGCAACAAGGGCATCTTCAATTCGCTGATTGTACTTGTCAAAATCTTTAACCATTTTTGTACCTTCAAGGCTCTGACTAAGCGTTTGCGGATGACAAGAGTTTCCGATGATTGGTTGGGTTGCCACTTTTGCTTTCTTCGACACAAATAAGCGATTGAACTTCTCAATTGTATGGGGACGAAGCGGTTTTATCTATGGAAATCTTAAAATATCTTCTCTCTGTCCACCAGCGGCTCCACAATCCGCAACTATCCGGCCTCGATTGCAGCTACGTTCCAAATTGGAAATGCCTGTGTCAGCGTAGTTTCCTCAACAACCACTTCTTCGCAGACCACGTCGCAAATATTAAAATGGAATCAGGGGAAATGCATCAACAAATACCCTCAGGTCCAGTTATTTCCTTTTGATCGCGTTGTCAGTTCGATGACTTCAAACGCTCAGCTCCTAAGAGTGAAATTGCTCATCGCTCAAATTATTGAATTGAATATCATTGCCCCTTCAGATTCCAGCCTTACTTTCTTTGTGATTGTTGACGTCGAGCGGACACGCAGGAGCTTCGGAAGGGTGCTCGGTGCCTCCACAAAGGACGCCGGCAGTCCTCTTGGCTGGTTCATTAACGGTATCTCAACTGTATTTTGCGATGGTTGACAAACTACTATTCGTTTCAAAATAGGTACTTACTAGTTGTTTTCTTATCCGATCAGGAGCACCCTTCGATTGTTGGGTCCTGTTTTCCGAGGTGGAGGACGGTGAGGCTTGGATCGAGAACTTAGACATCCGACCGATGTTCGGTAACCAGCGATTCAGCGACAGACAGTTGCAATCGTCTTCTTCAGGGGAAGGTGCTCTGGCAGCGAAGTAAGGCTGAGGTCTTTCGGTCTCCTCACGGTGCCCGCATAATTTCTGGCAGGATACGCCACTTACACGTAATCCTTACATTTGAGCCACTTTTGTACTTAAGCGGTGAATTATTTTGCTCAATCAATGGAGAAGAGAGCTCAGGCAAATGCTGTCATTTGCGGGCTTTTCTGTTGATGAGAAGATTGATATCTTGATCAGTTTGGGCAATGATAGAGGTTTTCTTTGAGAGTATTGGTGCATTTAGGAACGGTTTCACGTTTTTATATCAAAAGACTTCACTGTCTTCCTCAGTCCGCATCGTTTTATTGTTGTTGTGAGCGGCAGCGTTAATGAGGCGTTTTAATTTCAAGTCAACTTTCTCGATTTTGTGTACGGGTGAAGAATGGGATTGGTGAACTATGAATCGGGTATTTGATGGGTTTTTCCTCCGTTTCCACGTTTAGAGAACAACAGATAACTTGAAGACTACTACGTGATGCTTGTGACGTTCCATTTCAAATGCATAGATTCTACCCAATACTCAATCCTACGTGAAGTGTGCTTGCTTCGATGCTTTGGAGGGTCAGGATGCTGACCATAAGCGTGTGCAGTTAAAAAACTTAGGGCACTCCACTTAACCCTGTCTCTATTTTTTTTTGCTTCAATATGCAATATTCAATGTCTATTGTTTTAAAGCAGGGGAGTCAAGGCAGCTGGTGCCGAAACACTACTTCACAATCTTTCCACTTCGTCTAGAGCATTGTACAGCTTGATTCTGTCATTTCCTGAGTTTAGGATTGTGTGTCTTCTGCTTATTGCAGCAGATCTCATCAGCCACTCAGCGCGTAACCGCATATAAATGGCTAGGCGAGAGGATCTTAGTGGTTTCTAAGCAGATCGACCCTGTTGGAAAGGTGCGTAAGTAATCCGGTGCAACAAATATGCGGGCGGAAGAGGGTAAAAGTTGCCAAAAGTTGCTAAACTGTATCGACTCTGTTGTGGGTAATTGGCCGATGTTGCCTGAGCGTTAGTACCACGTCATGCATTAGAAATATGATTGACGTAATCAAAGATCTAATAATATTCAAACATGTTCTCTGGCGAGCGCAGCTTTGTTACAAAATTGAATAAAATGTATGCTAAGCTGATATTCTATATCTCTTACGAACCAAGCTGCCTTCAAGTTCACTTGTATGATCTTGTCAAACAAATTCACTTCGTATGTGTTTCATCTGCTAGAGAATTTGTGAGAATTCATGTCAGGAGAAGTTGAGATTGTCATGGAATATCAGAGGTGGGGGATGAACTTGGTGGTTTTCTACGACATTATGCATTAATTCTTAAGAAGTCCACCATCACACAGATATATAACCTCATTTTCCTCACAGATTCTTTCCAAAGATGAAGGAGCTAAAAGCAGGAGAATAGTGTGAGTTTCGACAATTCTCTCATGGAAAGATTGTCTGATTCTGACAGTGGCTACTACCCAGATTCTCACCCCTTGGAGCTTGATGAAAACTCGGACGTCTCCAAGGTCATTTCTCCACTATTGAGATGTTCTAAAACCGTGTTTGTGGTCGAATAAGCTGAAGGAATTGAATTTAAAGTACTTGATAAAATCGTCGATATCCTGGTTTGAGGGCACCGTCAGAAGTTACACCTGGAAACTTAGAAGGAAAAGCCTACACAGGTTCCTAATGCAATGTTCACTGCGAATGGTAACAATCAACTCACACATATGGCACATGCCAGATACTATTTAATTGTCACCAGGATAGGTTGACAGATAGTAGTGCTACAGTAAATTCTATATCATCAGTGCATATAATATATCTCCAATTTGCAGCCGAAAAACCATAAGTGAGTTACATTGTAAATAATACGCAGGACACTGAGGAGCGTGGCGTTCATGATGTTCAGTCACAAGTTGTGCAAGCTGAGTCCTCTATCAAGAAAAGTATTCTCTATTGCCTAAGCAATACAATCACCAGCTTACGCTATTCTCATTTACTTCACATTCCTTTTAACGATGATGTATAATTGTAGAAGTGTTTCTCTATTTTTAGAAATCCAGGAGATGAAGTGAGAAATCTGGAGGTTTGAATCCTCAAATGTCTGTGTAGGGGACTTGAGAAACCTTCCCTTTGTTTCTGTTCCTGAGACTTCGAAGTGGAATATGGAGAGACCACATCTGACTGGCCGTCGCTTATGTCAGGTTCAGAGCTTTATCATTTCCACATTTGCAGAATGTAATATATATATGTATGTTTGGCTAATATGCTTACTCCATTTTACAACATCGATCTACTTGTCTGAATGAAGTCTTCGTAGGTCATAAAAACTTGAACCAGTCTAATTGTATCACGAGCCGAAATAAGTTGTGGACTGTGGCTGTTTATGGGTTTGTGCCTGATGTTCTGTTGGTCCTTACTTCTCAGGAAAAGGAAACAAACAAAGCACCCCATTCAAAGAAGGATATGTCTATGAGGCGAGTTTCTCTGATTTCTTCATGCAATCACCTCTTCGGGGGGCCTGGGTCGAATCTGTCTATTTGAAAGTATTCTGCCATGTCCAGCTCTGAGTTGTTCAGAATGTATCCTTCCGGAACTGACGACCTATTCTGACGACCCTCTTTCTATTTGTTTCAATTTAAAGCAGAAGGATGGAGAGAGTCTCTCATCTCGATGCGTATCGTCCATCTGTCCAGGTACTTGCTAAACGGCTAGTTTTTTTTTTTTTTTTTTTTTTTTTTGGTACTTGCGTCTTTGGAATTGATCAGTTCAACTTGTATAAAACATGTGGGTGCTATGATAATCTTTTCAGTAGTCGCAGCTCAAACATGCTCTTATTTTGAAAGAGTAAAATCGATAATCTTGGGCTTATGTCTTCGCGGCACTGGTATTTCTGAGGCCTATCAAAACGTGTTCTTCCTCCGAAGATGAGTCCATGTCGCTGAGCCAAATTCTACATGGGCAGGAACTACTCATTGTAGAGGAGCTATTGGCTGCCATGGTGGGGATTGGTGGCGACTATATATGTGTGCAAAAGAATCAGGAGCATTGCTATTGCTTTGTATTCCACGTGGACCCTAAATTAAACCACTCCTTACATGTAAGCCAACATTTTCTATCCGCGTCTTGCTTCGATTTTCATTAGGAGGACTTGTGCCCAATATTTGTTGAAGTCACAATCGATAGCACTTTGAATTGCTGGATTGCAGGAGCTTGCTGACCGGATCCTTCCGATTTGTGAGAATTACATGGTTGTGAGTCAATTTGCTGAAGAGAGATCCCACTATGACCATGGGTTGACAAACCATGCGTTCGCTGCAGGTTTGAGGGCAATTCTTCAAGTGAGTGCCTGCTGAAGACTATCCTCACTTAGAAAACCTTCCCCGTCAGATTCACATGCTACTATTGTGATGCTCGTTGAAACTTTAAGTGACTGACAGATCTTTACAATTGGTGAAGGGCTGAACCCACCATGCCAAGATGATTGAATCTACCAATTGTTTACTTGAATTTGGGATCTAGTCGGCATTTGTCTTGGCCGAATCTGGTGCATTTCATTCATGGTAGTAGCTATCGTGCTCGCAGGATTATCACGCCATGGTTGCACAGCTTGAGCATCAGTTTCGGTTGAGTCGATTATCCTTGCCGGGTTTGTGGTTCTTTGTTCAGGTAAAGTCATGGTAAAAGCTCTATTGACAATCGTCGTTTTCGGGAGCAGCTTTCAGTATCCTAAGTTTCTGCAATATATCATGCTGGTAACGTATCCATCATGGCTTGTTGAATACGTTCAGCCGATGATGGGAGCGATGCAATGTCTTTCCTCCGTATCGCAAGCAGCAGCAATGCAGAGCGCACGTGGTGCTGTTTTGTTGAACTTGCTTCACAATCAGGTAAAAGATCCACCGCCCTTCATCATTTCCGAGGGACGTCAGGTTTGCCGAAGGATTAACAATAGATGGCATGAATTCTGCACGTCGAAAACCCTAAAAGGAATTCTACAACAGTTACTGTCAAAATGTATCGACAATGTCTAAAGAAGAAGCTTCGACAGAGTTTACAAGTGGGAGTATTAAGAAGATGTCAGGTTATATTATATTATGCAACATTAAGTTAGTCTAATGGAATATTTCTTTTGCATTAGGGGATAGCTCTAGCTGGGGACGTTGCTGTTAGGACATTACTTCAAAAGCTTACGCATGCTGCAAGTTTTCCGTACTTCAGAATCTTAGAACGGTGAGAACTTACTCTTTCTTGGATCTGCTGAATCTTGGGTAATATTTAGAATGCTAGCTTGTTACTGGAGTAGAAAGGAACGTGAACAATTAACGTAGTTAGCTATGACTTTCGAAATCTGGAGCCTTCATGCAGAGCCATCGTTTAAACAGATTATTTCTTATCATGCGTTAGTGGTCACACTATGCCCAGGAAATTCTCTTGTATGAGAAGACGATGAATCAAAACCTGTTTCTGAGAGTGGAAGAAACTGAGTTTTTTATGTAGAATGTTTGTTAAATTAATAGAAACAGTTTCACAAGTCCAAAATTGCGGCACCCTTCTACCCTGTATCAACACATCTGTATTACTAGTTTGATCTAAATGAGTTTCTATAAATGCTTTGTAACACAATGTGGGAGGCGTAGGTGGGTGTATGAAGGAGTTATCGACGATCCTTTCGGAGAGTTCCTAATCGAGGAGAATAAGTGCTTGGAGAAGGTATCACACTCACAGTAATTAAGTCTAAAGAGTGATCTTTTTTTTCTTTTCTTTTTTTCTCTTTCTGGGGAATGTTGAAGAAATTCGATAACTGAAGATTATGTTTGATCATTTCTGATTCACTTTGTAACATGCACATGAAACACTAACTGAAGAGTTTTACAACACTATCTCGCACACCTCCACTAGCAGCTCTAACTTTATCCGGATGGTGAATTACAAGGCATGACTATGTGCAATATATTTAAGCCCATTCACAAGACTCTGCCAACTGTTCCAGGAAAGTTTAAGCCAGGACTACTACGCTACGTTCTGGCTGAAGCGGTACAGTCTGCGAAAGGATATACCAGAGTTTTTAAGTTCTCACGCTGAGATTATTCTTACCACAGGGAAATACTTGAATGCGATTCGCGAGTGCGGTCAATGTCTACAGGTTTGTTGTTTGCTAACTTGAAAAGGGTGTAAGCTGACGTTTTATGTCTAAAACTTTAGGCAGTATAGTGAATATCTTTTCTGTATACACGCACAATGATATGCTATCTTCGGCTAATTGATGACAATCTATGTATTTGTTCTGTCATTGTTTGTAACACTCGTACGCACATTGAGCTTGCGGCCTTAAAAATTTATGAATTTTTTCAGGGTCCATCACTAGAAGACCTTAGAGTAGCGAATTTTACCTCGACGAGGCCATATTTGGAACGCGTTAATGTTGCTCACAGATATGCCAGTGCGGAGCTTCTTAATCTCATCGTCAACAGGGTAATATATTCTGCATCCAATTGCAGCTCTTCAACTCGCTATCTAATTCTTTAGGGTTAACGGAATAATTAAGGTACCGATGTTTTCAGCATGTTCTTTGTTCGAAGCTGTGTCAATCGGAGATGTTTTTTTGAGCTTGATTTTGTTTCATTGCGAAGAATTGAATGAATTCACTAAGAGATATATTGCGCATGTATGACTTAATCTTTTATGGACTCTGGGTTTGTGTCCACACTTCCCACTGGGACTTTTCATGACATGTTCCTTTAAGCTCTAAAAATAACAGGACATGTATGTATGTTTTTCAACTGTTAATTCGAAAGATTAACAGGGGAATAACTAATTAATTCGGATATCTCCATCGGAGTTTGATATAGAATGGATTACTTGTACACCTAGCTGATGTAGTTTTCTTCTTATGCATGAGGAGGGGCAGTTTGACCTGGCTGGAAGGCTGCGTTCTGTCAAACACTACTTCTTCGTAGACAAGGTGTGTTCCAAGATTTTTTAACGGCTTCTAACCTCTTGCTCCACAATGTAGAATTCCAGTGTAATTACTTTTAAACTTGCAGATACTGCCTGACATGATTTCTTACTGCACACTTTTCTAGTGTGCAGCCCATGATCAATTGAGGAACGATACATTTCTGTGACGCTTATAAAAACCTGCCTTGAATATTACAAGTCGGTTTCACACTATTGTAAAATACAGGGAGATTTCTTGGTCATCTTCATGGATTCAGCTAAGGACGAACTTGCGAAAAGACCCGCAGCCTTGTCAAGGGAGAGACTCCAGGTACGCTGTAATGGAAGCAATACACCAATTTAAGGTATTGCGTTGGAAGTTGCTGGGATTTTACCCAATGTCTGCTTATTTCTGGTTCGTTTTGTGGAAAGCTCTATCCTTATTTTCTTGCATTTAATCCATTTAATACACTTAGATACAGATCTGTCAATACGCTATCTGTTAACTGCTTCAGTAGCAATGAATCTTCTTAATTTGTATGTAACATCGACTCATATTCACACTTTCCGGCATTTGTGTTTAGTCACTGTTGGAGCTGGCTATTAAGACATCGGTTGCGGCATCGGATCCTTACCACGACGACCTCACGTGCATCATTGTAACTACTACCACAATGCTAATGTCGGTCTTCTAATTTGTAACCACCATCCGTTACTAACTCCCGTATCACAAGGAATATAGCTCTGAAGTGCTCTTGTCTCAATCCTGTTCCTCTTATGCTTGCAGGAAAATTCAACACTTCTGATGCAGCTGGAGGAGTTTATGCACAATGGTCCAGCCACTCAAAGTGCACAATCAGAGACCTGCAACACAGGCGGAGTTGCTACAGGGGGCTTAACTGGAATAGACTTTTTTGTTCTGGATTACAAGGTAATCGCTTCTTTCAATTGGGATCAATTTTCAGTCTTTTCTCTAGGAAGTTGGTTGGACCCGAGTTAAAATCGATTTGAATTTGTGAGTGCCTGAAGTGGGCAGGATGTGTGACACATTTCATGAAGGTTAGGTGGCCGACTTCATTAGTGCTATCAAGAAGAGCTTTGACAAAGTACCAATTCATATTTCGGCATCTTTTCCATTGCAAGCACGTGTGGCGTCAGCTATGTGCATCCTGGCAGATACATCAGGTTTTCCTGATAAATCGCGGAGCCTCTTAATGATATTTTGGGCTAAAGAGACATCCTGAAAGCCTATCTTTGGCCCTAGTGTAAACAATTCCTGCATGTGTACAAAACATCGATGTTTAACTAGCATTGACCAGCAATTGTTTGAATCACAAGCGTGCTTATTACATTGCAGATAGCTACCCGTGCATACAATATCACCGGGACATCGCTGTGTAGGTCGTACGTCGTGTGCCAACGCATGCTCCATTTCATCCAGAGCTTCGAACATTACATGACTTTTGAGGTGAAATAGTACAATATCGTCTCTTGACAAAAAGAAGAAAACTGCCTTCAATAATCAGTATAATGATCATATCAGCTTATTCCTGAGTACAATGACTTAGCAGTTTCTTTTAAATATGAAGTGACTGTTGATCTGCTAATTGTGCGGTTGAAACTTTCAAACATGTACAAGAAGAATTCTGAGCAGTACTCATGCTGATTTCTTAATTCGGTATTTGTGGGTACAGGTGCTGGAAACCAATTGGGACCGTCTGCATAGTAGTTTGAGCGGCTTGAACAGCGTGGACGAGGTAAAGTGATTTCTCTACCAGATTTTTGGTCGTTTACGACGATCAACTGATGAAAACTACTTTCAATTTCTCCCTTCTTTTATGAGGAGCACGTTCATACATTGGTGAATCAGTTCATTGGTAGAATATTTTTTCTCTCTTCTCATATTCGTATGTGGCCGGCAATGTAGGTTATGCAACAACATGAGTCCTTCTTGGACAGTTGCCTCCGACAATGCATGTTCTTTTGGCCTATGATCTTCGAGGTGAATTTCATGTCAACTTATTAGCACTAGTCTAGCTTGAGGCAAAGATTAGGACTTGAAGAGTGACTTCTTTCCAGGATGCAATTGTATCTCAATCTTGAGCTATATTTTATGGCGACACGTGTTGTGGATTGCAGAAAGTTGATCATTTACAAAGTCTTTGTCTCCAATATGCAACAGCCACCCTACGGTTTTTACCAATGTTGTTCACCAAGGATACATATACAGATGAATCATCGTGCGTAGTGGATCCACAGCAATCTATGTTAGATGAGGATCCTTCTTCTGAGAGGCAATGCAAAGGCAGACTTCGTAAACAGTATAAGCTCGATAATCGGCGTGCCAGACAAGCAGCAGATGACAAAACCTTCAAGAACTGTATCGGGTATGTGGACTGTTGGGATTGGTAAAATTAGTATGAATGCAACTTCTGATTAGTTTGTTAAATGTCGAGGATCATCTGGCTTGCCGTCACGTACTTGACTGGTCACTCTAGATGGTTCTACTAAGAAAAAGTTGCAAATGATGCTCTCGTATTGTGCAGACGAATAGACACAGCTTTCAACAATGAACTGAGCTTACTTGTAGACGTACTTATCTGTAGATCGCAGCAAGAGCCGTACTTGGCTGATCTTGTGCAAGCCTTAAAGGCAGTTGAGCGAGCCGCCTCACACCCTTCTCCCTCCCTTTTCGTTATACCTTGTTCAACAATAAGAGCAAATAAATACCTAATAGTCTACTGTCAAGGTATCACTGTCGTGTCTGCAGGCGTTGGACTTTTTGGGGGCTATTTGAAGCTCTTATTGAGAACCAGTCTATCGTTATACTTGGTCGTTGTGGGTTAATTAGTAGCAAATTTATTTGTAGCTAGGTCTCGCCATGTTAGGTTCTCTGTTAAATGAACCTAACATGGCGATCAGCGGTATTCCTAAACCCTGAACCCTGACAGTGGGGGTTCTTCCATACTTTGTGGGTTAGATGTTACCGAAAGTGGAAGCCAGAAACAACGAGCGAGGTTCCACAGATCCGCAAAGAGAGCATAATGCAGACTCCGGTGACTCCGACCTCGACTATCCTGAGCCCTCAGAAGTGGATTCACCCCGATTAGGAAGCTCCCTTATAAGTTACCCGCGTGAAGAAGTTCCAGAAGAGAGGCCATGCTATTCTCAACCCCGAGCATCCATAAGCTACCATTCTGAACATGATCCGAAAGAGAATGCAAACCATTCGCAGCACCGAGCATCTACAAGCTTCCGCTTTGAACAAGACTCCGAAGAGAATACAAGCCAACTTCAACCTCGAGCATTGATGAACTTCCGCTGTGAGCAAGATTTGAAAGAGAATTCAAGCTATTCTCAACCCCGAGGATCCATGAGCTTCCGTTCTGAACAAGATCCGAAAGAGAATACAAGCCATTGGCAACCTCGAGCATTGATGAGCTTCCGCTGTGAACAAGATCCGAAAGGCAAGACAATTCACTGCCAACCCCAACCATCGATAAGCTTCTGTAGCGAACAAGACCCAAAGGATAACACGGTCCAGTACCTACCCCAAGCTTCGATGAGCTTCCCTGGTGAACGTGACCCGAAAGAGAATACAATCGACTGCCAACCCCAAGCATCGATTAGCTTCCGTTGTGAACGAGACCCAATAGACAAGACAATCCACTGCCAACCCCAACCATCAATGAGCTTCCATAGCCAACAAGACCCGAAAGAGAATACAAGCCATTGGCAACCTCAAGCACCGGTGGGCTTCCGTGGTGAACATGACCCGAAAGAGAATCCAATCCACTGCCAACTCCAAACATCGATGAGCTTCCGGAATGAACAAGACCCGAAAGAGGATACAAACCATTGCCAACCTCAAACATCAATGAGCTTCCGTAGGGAACAAGACCCGAAAGAGAGAACAAGCCAATGGCAACCTCGAGCACTGATGAGGTTTCATGGTGAACAAGACCCGAATGAGAATACCAGCCATTGGCAACCTCGAGCATTGATGAGCTTCCATGGTGAACAAGACCTGAATGAGAATACAGGCCATTGGCAACCCCAAGCATCGGTCAGCTTCCGTTGTAAACTAGACCCGATAGACAAGACAATCCACTGCCAACCTCAACCATCGATGAGCTTTCGTGGTGAACATGATCCGAAAGAAAACACTATCCACTGCCAACCCCAAGAATCAATGAGCTTCCGTTGTGAACAAGACCCAATAGACAAGACAATCCACTGCCAACCACAAGCATCGAGGAGCTTCCGGAGCGAGCAAGTCCCGAAGGAGAATACAAGGCATTGGCAACCTCGAGCATTGATGAGCTTCCACTGCGAACAAGATCCGCAAGATATGACAATCGACTGCCAACCCCAGGCATTGATGAGCTACCGTTCTGGACGAGATCCAGGGGAAACGAGATACCAAACCGATTGTCCAGCAATAATGAATTTTACCCACGACAACGATCTATGGTATCAACCCAAAGACTCTCTTACCATCTGGAACGTATTTTGTGCGCTTGAAAGGAAACTCCTCTTAACCGCCGACCTCTAACACAGCTACCTGATTTGTATTTCAAGTGCAGAAACGTAATGCTATGCACAACAGAAGAGATGACCTGGCTTTATAATATTCAACTGTTTTTTGCGATTGGTTGGGAGATTAGAAACTATTCCTCTCCGTGCGGACTTGTGTTGAATATGCTGATCTTTGGCAGCCATGATCACAGTGAAGCAGCTTCCAAATGAATGGAGTGTGGAGCTTTCGAAGACCCCACAATGTCGATGGGATTGTTCAATCCGTGAAAGCTTTCTTCACGTTGTCGAACGGCCTTTCAGGAAATACCATTTAGTCTTTCGCAGGTTGTGATGAATTGCAACAGAGACCAGGAGAGTGGAAGCGATTTTCTGTGAGACTTCTGCTCTTCTGATCCGAATTCTCCCGTCGGACTATTGCAAAATCGAGCACAATCGTCTTATGAAGTACGACAAAGTCCGTTCAGAGAGCCCTGATAACGAGGATTCAAAGACTCGTGCAGTGTAACTCCAATCAAGTCTTGGCAATGGTGGACAGAATTATTGATGTCACTTGGTGGGGATGATCGTTTTTCATTCACCCAGTTTCGACTCCTTATTCAGTTTCTGCAGTTTATGCTGGATTGCGTTTTCCACCGTTATTTTAACGATGTTAGAAGCACCAACAAAAGCAGTCGTAAAACAAAAACTAATATATGATCTGTATTCAAAAATTAAGGTGAATGATATTATGTATCAAATTTTAAACTTTCTGATGTTCTCTTTTAAAAAATGAAAAAAAAATGAAAAAATGAAAAAAAAAAAAAAAATGGTCCCTAATTCTAAAAGTTGGTTTTGGTCTTAGGAAAGAGCAACTAAATTGTATGAATTATAAAAACCTTGATGGTTAAGGTAAAGTTAGCTTAGCTGGTACAATGAAATTGGATTGCGATTGTTTCATGGTCATGGAAGCATGTTTCTTCTTGTCACGGAAAATATCAATTTCTTGGTCCTCTAAAAATTGAGACTTAACACGGTAACTGTAACTGTGCTTCTTTCTAATTTATTAAATATAAGCTTGTCCTGTGAAGCTAGGTATTTGGCATTGATTATCAACATAAAATTGGTACCAAAAGTTAGCCATTCTTTTCGCATTCTAATTGGGGGATTGTATCATTTCTTTGTAGTGTAATTGTACTTAATGGTGTACATTTCTTTGTAGTGTAATTGTACTTAATGGTGTACATTTCTTTGTAGTGTAATTGTACTTAATGGTGTACATTTCTTTGTAGTGTAATTGTACTTAATTGTATCATTTCTTTGTAGTGTAATTGTACTTAATGGTGTATATATTACAAAATTGAATTTCATATTAGATTAGCGTGAAATTTAACTCTGCACAAATTGCAACAATATAAATCACAAATTTAATAAACTAAAGTACCCACCACAAACTTTTAAACAAATTCCTAAAGTATTTCAGCTACAATGACAAAGGAGGACTTACCTACTGATACTGTGGCCATTGTGTCTAGAACATAATTAAGATAAAAACCAGTTTGTGACTGTAGTCCATCCATCTTCAATCGCATTACATGCGAGGCAAGGCGCGTGGTGCCGCCACAAAGCAAAGTGAGGTAGTCAGAATGCGCAACCAGGCACTCGTTTGGCATGGGATGGCGAGGCAGGGATGGAAGGAGGGAGAGCGAGGAGAACGACAAGCACAGCGGGGCCGACGACAAGGAAGAGGAAGAGGAGGAGATGTGCGGACCAGGTCGTCACGCCCACCAGCGCGCCAATCGCAGCGGGGATGCCTCCATTATCCAACCCCACCACTACCGCACCTCCTCCCCCGCGCTGCTCATCAAATTCCACTTGGTGCTCCCCCCTGCTTCCAAGTTTCCCCCTCCCCTCTCCTGCATCGTTTGCATCCCCCCGCTCGCCACTCACTACTCCTCTCTCCTCCCCGCCTTCGCCTCTCCCAGGTTTGTGCCCCCTTTTCTCTCTTATTCTGCCCCTTTCTTGCTATTCCACTATCCTTCTCACCTCAACAATCTTCGCACTGTTGAACATCGTTTAGGAAGTATCGTTGGCGTACGTCTTTGTCTGTGGCGCTTTGCATTCTCGGGTACGCTTGCTATGGGGGTTGGTAGTTGGGTGGGGCGAGGTTGCATGCTATGGAATTGTTTTGAATTTTGGTGCTGAGGGATCGCAGTTGCGCTCGACCCAGCGCTGGTGAGCTGACATTCTCTGCTGGATGGCGTAATGCAGAAATTCAGGTCTCGCGGTGTCGAAGATGGAGACTCTTGCGATGGGAGCTTCCGTCTCGGCCAGCGGGCTGTGTGCTAGGGCGACCGCGCAGACGTCCCAGACGTCCCGGGCCGCTCTGGCTTCGGCCTTCTCGGGTAAGAGCCTGAGAGCGCTGAAGTCGAACGTGAGCTTGACGTTGGCGTCGCAGAGGCCCCGGCAGTTGCGTGTGGTGGCTGAGGCGCAGAAGGAGACGCTGAGCAAGACCGCGCAGCTTCCCGAGGACGATGGCACGAGCGACGTGCAGAGGCCGGCGACGAAGGGGTCGGACAGGAAGATGTCAATCAAGGATATTGACTCGAAGGAGTACAAGGGCAAGACGGTGTTCGTGAGAGCAGATTTGAACGTGCCGCTGAACGACCAGCTGGAGATTACGGACGACACGCGTATCCGCGCGTCCCTGCCGACGATCCAGTACTTGACGAAGGCCGGCGCGAAGGTGGTGTTGGCGAGCCATTTGGGGCGGCCGAAGAAGGGACCGGAGGAGAGATTCAGTCTGAAGCCCGTAGCAGGTGAGTGGCGTGACAGTGCGTTAGTGGGTTCGTGGCGGTGTTTGTGAGAGAGTTACTGACAGAAGAAGATAGTCATTGACGAGGATATGATAGGGACGGAATTGATGTGCATGATCTCTATGTTTTTCCTACGTGGGGGTGGGGTGGCGGTCGCGGTGTTCAAATGGTGTGGAAGAGAACGTGATTGAACAGAGCTCCTGAGGCAGATCAGAATGGGTGCATTGGTGGGTGATGTTGGGACATGGGTTAGGAGTCCTGAATAAGAGCTTGAACCACGGATTTGGTGGGTGTTCAATTCTGATGGGTAGTGGGATGGTGGGAGTCTGAGGAGAAACGAAGTGCATATGAATTTTGTGTAGTGCTGGCTGTGCAGTCGTAGATTTACGGTAATCGAAACAGAGGATGGCAGTGAATCGTCGCAGAGCGTCGGAGGTAGATAGCGAGTCGTGTCGCAGGGGTGCAGCACAGAGGGGTGTGGTGAAGGGGAATCGGACGCATGATTGATGGGAGGTGTGTGACTGGTTGGTTGTGCAGGGAGGTTGACTGAGCTGCTGGGGCAGACCGTGGAGCTGGCGCCAGACTGCATCGGCGACGAAGTGAAGTCGAAAATTGCTGGATTGAAGGTAAGAGCTTTTGAGTAGGTCATTGCAGATTGCACAATGCGTCGCGAGTGGTTGTTGATTCTGCATTTGTGGCCGCAAGTGCAAGCGCATTGTTTGCTCGTCCGAGGAGGCGAGGGAACAGGCGTTCGGTTGGAATGGAAGTAGAGTTGACGAGGTTGTCGATGTGTGTGGGAAAAATGACAGGAGGGAGACGTGTTGCTGTTGGAGAACGTGCGGTTTTACAAGGAGGAGGAGAAGAATGACATCGAGTTTTCGAAGAAATTGTCAGAGAACATCGACTTCTTCGTGCTGGATGCTTTCGGCACTGCCCACAGGGCGCATGCATCGACGGCCGGGATCGCGGACTACGTGACGTCTCGATTGGCTGGTTTGTTGCTGGAGAAGGAGCTGGAATACCTGTCGGGCGTGGTGCAGAAGCCAACGAAGCCGTTCGTGGCCATTGTAAGCGGTGGTTGTGAAGCAGCTGAGGGCAGTTTAGGGTGTAGTGGGGGCATGGGCGGTGGCGGGGGGAATGTGGTGCACGTGTGGTGAGAGGTGGGCAGCGAGGGTGATGAGTGACTCGGGTGGGGTTGATGGTGCGCAGGTGGGAGGAAGCAAGATCTCGTCGAAGATTACGGTGATCGAGTCGTTGATGAACGTGTGCGACAAGGTGATACTGGGAGGAGGCATGATCTTCACGTTCTTCAGGGCGGAGGGCAAGAGTGTGGGGTCGTCACTGGTGGAGGAGGACAAGATCGAGCTGGCGAAGAACTTGGCGGAGTTAGCGAAGAAGAAGGGCGTGGAGCTGATCCTGCCGGTGGACGTGATCGCAGCGGACAAGTTCGCTCCGGACGCGAATGTGCAGACGTGCAGCGCGTCGTCGATTCCGGATGGTGAGAGCTGCGGGCGCACAAGTTGGAGTGGTGTTTCGTGGGTTGGGGTGGTCGACAGCAAGTGAAGGGGAGCAGTGTCGTTGTGAGGAGTGGGTGGTGGAAGGTGCATGGGTGTGTGGACGGGGCGAGGGGCGGCATGGTAGTTGGTGTGTGAAAGTTGTAGGCAGGGAATGTGTGGCACAGTTGGACGAGGGGGCGGAGGCGAGGACTGTGGTGGACGTTGGTGTTCTAAGCCGGGATGGTGGTGTGGTGCAGGGTGGATGGGACTCGACATCGGCCCGGATGCGATCAAGCAGTTCCAGGAAGCGTTGTCGGATGCCAAGGTAAGCGTGGCGGGGAGAGTAGGAATGAGCTGTGGCGTATGGTAGTGGCATGATTGTGCAGCGCGTGGGTGGAACGTGGTATTTTGTGATAGATGGGAGGATGTGGGGGGAGCGTCAAGGGAAGATAGAGGATAGGGTTGTGGAAGTATGCGTGGAGGTAGAGCAGCGGAGGGTGGGAATTGGGAGTGGTGCGCAGCAGTAAGTGGTGGGCGTGGGTGTGGTGCAGACGGTGCTATGGAACGGGCCGATGGGAGTGTTCGAATTCGAGCAGTTTGCGAAGGGGACATTCGCAGTGGCGGAGACGATGGCGGAGCTGACGTCGAAGGGGGCGATCACGGTGGTGGGAGGAGGAGACTCCGTGGCGGCGGTGGAGAAGGCAGGATTGGCAGACAAGATGAGTCACGTGTCGACGGGAGGAGGAGCGAGTTTGGAGCTGTTGGAAGGCAAGGTGCTGCCGGGAGTGGCAGCGCTGGATGATGTGCGCATCCACGCGTAAATCTGGCGAGCTGTTGTAGGAGGCAAGGCGGAGGGAGGAGTCGCTAGAGGGCGGGACTGTATGAATGGCAGTAGCAATCCTTGTACACTTTTTGATCTCTGTACGCACGGTAGTGGGTAGTTGTGGCTTCGTGGGAACATGGGATGATGTTAGGGCGGGAGTCAAAGTGCTCCGTGCGCATGCAAGCATCGAAGCCAGCTCTCGTGGATGGGAGCCTGTGAACATTTGTCAATTTTCATCGTGAATGGTAGTAGGAATTTGGTGCGTTTCAAGGACAGTGTCGGTGGTGGTGTCGGTGTTGTGATTTGCTTGGTGATGTGACTGTGGGGAGGTAGTTGGTCGAGTAGTTCTGTATTTGTGAGAGAGGGAGTAGATTGCTTGCTTGTTGTGGAAGTGATTCTGCAAGATTTGTATGTGCGTCCTGTCTTGATATGTATCTTTTGTTGTTTGTTTGCTGTAAACTGATTGTATTGCTTCGATGTCAAGTGATGTCTTTTGACTGTCTAGAATGTTGATAGTGTGAACAAAATAGGATTAGGGGTAAAACAGAACGTTTAATGTGAAATCTGTGTAAGAGATTATTGTAAAGGCCAAATGTTAAATTGGCTTTTGGTTTTGTTGAGAATGTTTAGAAAGACACAAGAGTAACAGGAAGTCATACACACACAAGAGTAGTAGTAAGTCATACACACAAGAGGGTTTCTAAGGAGAGAGAGCTTCACATATAAAAATCTATTGATCTGGTTGTGTCTCATATACAAGAAGAGAAAAGGGGAGAGGATAAACAATACTTCTCCATTAGACTCTAAATATTGTAGCTATGATATTTATTGTAGTCTACAATAAATATTATGGAGAGTGCCAACTACATTTAATGATCTCAATACTCCTCTTCGCTCATCATAATATTTACATAATATAAAATTTGTATAGAATTATGATCTATACTTTTCTGTGATCTTACAAGATCAACAATTGTTGCCTCATTAAAATCTTATCTAAGAAAATCTTATTGTATTTAAGGACAAAACCATAGATGAAGGAAAAAGAGTACAACATCATTTTCTTTAATTATTTAAAGAGCTCATTAACTTTTTTATTCAAGAAAAGCAAGTCGCCACATACCAATGCCATAAGTAAGTCAATGATGGTTGCACAATGAGAGAGCTTTGGTGAAGAGATCAACAAGGTTATTTGTAGATTCAATTTTCTTAATTATAAGTACTTCATCAGTAATCAAGTCATGGGTATAACTAAAATATTGTGGATCAATAGGCTTTGTCCCGTTGCCTTTAATGAAACCAACTTGCATCTATGCAATACAAGCATTGTTATCTTCATGCAAGATAGTTGGAAAATCATCATATGAAAATCCACAGGTTGTTTGAATGAATTTATCAATTGATCGCAACCAAATACATTCTCAAGATGCTTCATGTAAGGCAATAATTTCTGCATGGTTGGATGAAGTTGCAGTTATTGTTTGTTTCGCTGATTTCCATGATATTGCAGCTCTATGTCTTAAAAATACATATCCTGTTTGAGATTTAGCTGTTGCAATATCAGATTTATATCCTGTATCACAATATCCAACTAATTTTGGATCTGCGGATTGTGTGTAATATAATCTCAAGTCTTCAGTACCTTTTAAATAACGTAATAAATATTTGATGCCATTCCAATGTCATAGTGTTGGACGTGCACTATGTCTTACAAGAACACTAATTGCATATGCAATATTTGGTCTTGTAGATGTAGCTAAATACAAAAGTGCTCCAACCGCTACGAGGTATAGATATTGATCTTCTAATATTTCCTCCTCCTCATCGCATGGATGGTATGGATCATGACCATCACGACCATGTCCAACTATTGGTGTGGACAATGGATAAGCATCAAACATATTAAATCTTTGCAAGATTTGTCTAATATACATTAGTTGGTAGAGAAAAATGCTATCATCTGTTAGATGCATAATCTAAAGACCAATACAGAAAGTTATTTTTCCTAGCATTTTTATCTCAAATTCACGTATAAGTAGGTTAGTAGCTGTAACATATGCAGATGTAGTGCTCACTAGGTTAAGATCATCAACATATACATCGATGAACACAAAATCAATTTTATCTCGTTTGATAAATAAACAAGGGATTAGTGGATCACTTATAAAATTATTTGTAATTAAAAAATCTCAAAGACGTTGATACCACATGCATTCGGATTGTTTTAAACCATACAAGGCCTTACATAATTTAATACCACGATATTGTCCTGGAATAGGTCGATTTGGAGTTCCTATTTCTAAGCCAGGTAGAACTTTCATATAAATATTTGCATTAAGAGAACCATATAGATATGCAGTTACTACATCCATCAGATGCATCCCAAAGGTAGCATCAACTGTCATTCCAATAATATATCGAAATGTAATTGAATCCATGACTAGAGAATATGTGAATTCATAATCAATGCCAATTCGTTGAGTAAATCCTTGAGCAACAAGATGAGCTTTATAGGGGTTTATTTGGCCGTGAGTATCTTGCTTGCATATTAATACCATCTTATATTCCACAAGGCAAGATGTAAGAGTGTCTACAATTGAACCAAAGACTTTCTTCTTACGCGAAGAGGCATACTCTTCGTCAATAGCAGTTTTCTTTTTTGACCAATCACGAAAATTACCTCTTTGATGGTTTGAGGTTCAAGATCATCGTCCTTGTAAGAAAGGGCTTCTATAATCATATATGCAAATGATTCATCTATCGTAATAGATGGTTTGTCCCAAATATCATCTGTAGCACAATAGAGAATAGATAATTTTTTACTCAACTTGTTCTTATTCCTTCCAATTCCAAGATTGTTTTTCATAGGAATTGAAGGTACATTATGCATGGATATATCATCATGAATTGGTAGTTCTGCAAGATGAGTGGCAATTTCTTGAGAAATAATACCAAGATTACTCAATTTCATAGCTTTTTTTTTACGTGGTTGCTTATCTGGTCCACGAGTTCTTTTACTTGTTGTTGTTATAACTTGAGGTACTGTAGTCAATGGCACTGTAATTTGAGCAGGTGCATTGTGAGCCTCATTAATAGGAACTCTTGTAATTCTAGGTGCATCATTGAAGCCATCAGATGTTTCATCTGCGATCCGTTTTAGATGCAAAATCATAGCAACTTCAATTTTTGCCAAAGATGTCTTAAGATCGAGATTCATTGTAAACGTTTCTGGTGCTTCAAATATGAATACTTTATTTCTTTGTTGATGGGGTATTCCTCCTTGAAGACATGGAAATACATTTTCTTCAAAATAGCAATTTTGTAAATATGCTGTTAGGGAAATAATCCTTAGAACCTTCTAGAGACAAGTTTCTAGAACCTTCTAGAAGCAAGTCTCTAGAACCTTCGAGAAGCTTCTTAGTTGGTAGAAGATATTAGGGACATAGTCCTTAGAACCTTCTAGAGATAAGTTTCTAGAACCTTCTAGAAGCAAGTCTCTAAAATCTTCTAGAAGCATCCTAGTTGGTAGAAGTTACTTGAGAAGCTTCCTAAATAGAAGTATATATTGGAATCGAGGCTGAAGAGCTCTTCAGTCTTCACAACACATCTCTTGGAGCTCTAACTCACCTCTTTGGTGTTGTTCTCATCTGATTAATCTAGTTCTTGCCAGTTCTTCTTGAACTTCTTGTTAGATCTCGAGTCTGTATTTCTGTGTTCGTGTTAGTTTGTCGAGATTGCACTCACTTCAGATATCAGAGCTAGTTTCTTCTTTGTTAGAGTGTGGATTATCCCTCTGCTTGGCAGTGTACTAGCATTTTAGAGGTTGCGGATTACCCTCCTCTAAACTGATACTTCTTTTGTTATAATATTGGAGTCTTATTCTTCTTGGAGAGAGTGGATTACCCCTTTTCTTGAAGCTCTTAAGGCATTTTAGAGGTTGCAGAGTACCCTCCTCTAAATCAATATTGTCTTCTTGTAGAGTCATTTCTGTCCTTCTCTTAGAATGGCCGGGGGCCAAGACATTAGTATGACAGAAAGTTCGGAGTCCAAGTTGGATGCTATCATGAATGCCCTCGCTACGTTATCGCAAAGAACTGCAGAGATTGAAGGAGTCGTGGCAAGGCTTCATAATGATGGAGCATCTAGGATAGCACAATCTAGGTTGCACCAGCCTCAAACTTCTCCACTTGGAGAAGTAACTTTGCCTCAGGTTCGACAAGCACCGCTGGTTCTACAACATAAGGAGCCCCGAGTTAGCCTTCCAAACAAGTTCGATGGTACACGTTCCAAGTTTCAAGGATTTGTCAACCAAATCAGGTTGATAACAATTTTATAGCCTAAATGCTATCCAACGGAGGAATCATGTGTTGAGCTTGTTGGAACCTTACTTACAAGACAAGCTCTATCATGGTTTGCTCATTTGTTTGAGAAACGATCGTCCATACTAAACAACTTTGAAACCTTTTTGGAGGCGTTTGCGGAAGCATTTGGTGAACACGATAAGGTTCGATGGGCTACAACAAAGATCCGATCACTATGACAAGGGATGCGCTCTACATCAGTCTATGCATCTGACTTCATGCAATTAGCATGCGACATCAATTGGGACGAAGAAGCATTGATGAGTCAATTCTATTGGGGTTTAAGGGACGATGTGAAGGATTTGCTGTTAAATCTTCTTGATCTACAAACGCTCAATGAAGCTATTAGCCAAGCTGTGAAGTAAGATAACCGCCTATTCCAACGCCGCCAAGATCAACGTTCAAGACAACATACGGTTTGCCATGCCCCAACTATGTCGACAAGCAACGTGAATTCACATTTAGAAGTAGAAGACATGCAAATTGATGCGGTACGTGTCAAATCCCTTACTCTAGAAGAAAAAAAGCGGCGTATGGAGGAAGGTCTATGCTTGTATTAGAGTGAAGAAGGCGACAAACTTGGAAACTATCCCAAGAAGCAAAATCGACGTATTGTTAGGACTAGGGGCGCGTTTATTCAAGAAAACGAGGATGCCCAGCTACAATAGGAACCGTGCGGCTAGACAGTGAAACATCGCAACAACAACCAAGTTCCTTTCTTTCCACTCAACCTGCCCTTTGTTTTATAATCCCTTTGCTTATTGGCCCTTAGAAACTGAAAACCTTAGCATTATTAGATTCAGGAGCATCTGCTTGTTTCTTAGACGAAGAATTTGCAAAGCATCATAAGATCCCTTTAGTACAAAAATCCAAACCTGTTCATATTGAGGTCATAGATGGGCGACTTTTATTGT